TTACAGTTGAACTTTACCGGTTCCAGCATAAGTTAACAGTTATTGCCCGCATAAACAAGGTCTAACTGTAAAAGACTGTTCAATGTTTGTTACCAATCTGTTATCAACACAGGCGACAGATATGATCGCAGATAATCGCCATTTTGTTGTCTAGATGTCAAACAAACAGTTTAGTAGTCTTGCGTACAAACAGTCCGCACATATGCACGAACAGATCTGCTTAGCATTTGGTGGCAATCTGTCGTCAATGCGTTCAACAGATCGACCCGACTGCGGTTAACGTTTTGTCATAAACAGATGCTCATATGGTTTTGCGGACTGTTTGGTCACAGTATTGCTAAAGCAGATCTGCTTGCTATCGACCATTTATTTGTTATCAGTTTCACTAACATATATGGAATCATTTTGGCCGCAATAATCTCATGTATGTGCCAACAGAGTTGTTGCGTTTTTTGTCTCTATGTGCTAACAGTTTTGGCAGCACCAAAGCATGTTTCCGTACTGTAGCGTTTCTGCACACAGTTTCTGTTGCCAAAGTCTGCGCAGTCAGAAATTGTTTGCTGGGTACATATCTTTTTTTTATATAAAATCTTCAAATTCTATTCACCAATAAATCACTCTATCATATCTATATAAATTGTCACATTACAGTAACGCAGACATAAAATTTGTTATATAACATGTTACATTACATATACATTATTGTTATCTTGTTGTTGCCAGTAAGTAAAAAACTATATAATTATTTCATTACAGAGTTATATTGCATAAATAAGAGAAAATGATATAATTTCAATATAAATCAAGTATAACAACTGTTACATTATTTTACAGTTATATTTTGTGTTTGCTGAGAGGAGCCTAATGAATCTTAATTGGTAAATTGACCCCGGTTGAAAAAGATGAGCGTTATTAAAAAACCTATCAGACTATCTTTGATAGATGTATTAAGTATTGCGAAACAAGCTCCAAGTGCCTCGGTGGCCTAACAGGGAAAGCGACGGTCCAGAAAGCCGGAGATTCCAGGATTCCTGGTTAAGGAGTTTTTTCGCAATATTTTAAATTATTCTGGAGAGAATATCCGAGGTCTTTCATGTATATAATGCAATCCTAGCATCCTATACTGCGTTCAATTTGAGAAGAGAAACCGGTTAGACGAAAACTCGTCTGTTTCGCGCACCTTCTCTACTAATAGGTCTCCTTACTCTACAGCCATTGGCTGTCACCAATCCCGTACGCAATGCTATTCTTACTTTGCTCGCTTTTTTTCTCCTATGCGCAGTAAAATTCTCTTCTCAAATTGAACGCAATATATATGATTTTAAGAATTGAAATCTCAATTCAAAAAACTCACTTGTAAAAAGTTACTTGTAAACACGTACATGTATATTCGTATATATATTCATATATATATATACAGTGCGGAGCACCATATCGTGCGCCGTGAGGAGAAGTAGTTCTCCTCCGGCCGCCTCCTACTATCACGCGCCAGCGGCCCGAGATTTAATCCATATATCGGCACGGTTACCGATGATACATACCGACGCGATTACCAAT